ATTATGTAAGTTTCATGTGTACAACACTACATTTCTGCTTCTGTATACCATACATACCATTGGTAGTGAGCTTATCATGCTCACCACAAAAAATTTCATATCCATCCATCACCACACAGTTCTCTCCTTTACCCAATTTGTCCCCACCACCTCTCCTTCCCCTCTGGTAACCACTACTCTTTTCTCTACAAGTTTATTTTTGTTTGATTCATTCATTTATTTTGTTTGGCTTTTTTGTATGTTTTTTATATTTATAAATACAAATATGATCCATTTATTATATCATAGGAGTGAAATCATGTGGTATTTGTCCTTCTTTCTTTTTTTGTGAGTCTAGCTAAAGGTTTGTTAATTTCATTTATCTTTTAAAAGAATCCGTTCTTAGTTTCATTGATCTTCTCTATTGTCTTTTTGGTCTCTATTTCATTTATTTCTGCTCTGATCTTTATTATTTCCTTCCTTCTACAGACTTTGGTCTTCATTTGTTCTTCTTTTTCTAATTCCTTTAGGTGTATGGTTAGATTGTATATTTGAGATTTTTCTTGTTTCTTGAGGTAGGCCTGTGTTGCTATAAACTTTCCTCTTAGTACCACTTTCGCTGCATCAAATAGATTTTGGTATGTCATATTTTCATTTTCATTTGTCTTCAGGTAATTTTTATCTCTCCTTTGATTCTTTATTGACCCAATATTTGTTCAGTAGCATGTTGTTCAGACTACATGCTTGTGATTTCTTCAGGCTTCTTGTTGTAGTTGATTTCTAGTTTCATACCACTGTGATCAGAAAAGATGCTTGATGTGATTTTGTTACCGAGTCCAAACTTGTTCTGCTCGCTGCATGATAGGCCAATAAACTGGGAGACGAGGTGTTGGAGCAAGGAATAGCGACTTTATTTGGAAAGCCGGCAGACCGAGAGGATGGCAGACTAATGTTTTGGAGAACCATCCTGCTCCAGTCAGAATACAGGCTCCTTTTATACAAAAAAAAAACAGGGGAGGGGGGTGTGGTTGGTTGTTGCATACTTCTTGGTGTAGGAAGTCTCTGTTCCTTCAGCTGTCCACATCCGCCAGGTCACGGCTCCTGCAAAACCTCCAACAAAACAAAGGCTACCCTCTATTCTGCAACTTGTTGTCTTTATATAAGTGCAGAAGTGTTAATATCCTTAAAGGTTAGAGCCTTGAGCAAAGGCTCTCCTGTTTACCACATGGGCTAAAGGCAACATCCATTTACAAAAGATGCAGAGCTAGCAAGAATGAACCCAGAAAAAAGGGCACAGAGGCTAAAACCAAAGGAACAGATCCAATATAGAGTCAGATCTGTTCTCCTCTATTACAATTTCAATCTTCTTAAATGTATTGAGACTTGTTTTGTGTCACAGTATACGGTCTATCTTTGCAAAAGTTCCATATGCACTTGTGAAGAGTGTATATTCTGCTGCATTTGGATGAAATATTCTGTACAAATCTATCTGGTCTAACATTTCATTAAGACCTTTGTTTCCTTATTGACTTTCTGTCTGAATGATCTATCCATTGATGTAAGTGGGGTGTTAAAGTTCCATAGTATCATTGTGTTGCTGTCAGTTTCTCCCTTTAGGTCCGTTAATAATCATTTTATATATATTGATGCTCCATTATTAGGTGCATATATATTAATCACTGTTGTGTCTTCAAAGAATTGTCCCATTTATCATTATATATTGTCTATTTTTGTCTCTTGTTTGGCTTGAAGTCTATTTTGTTTGATACAACACAAGCACTGAGTATGGCTCTTTTGGGCTCTTATGGCCATTTGCTTGGAGTGTCATCTTCCATACCTTCACTTTGAGCCTATGTTTGTCTTGAGAGCTGAAGTGAGTCTCTCAGGCAGAATATTGTTGGATCTTATTTTTTAATCCATCCAGAAACTCTGTCTTTCGATTGGTGAATTCAATCCATTCACATTTAGGGTGATTACTGACAGATGAGGATTTGGTACTGCCACTTAATCTTTTATTTTCTGGTTGTTCTATATCTCCATTGTTTCTTTTTCCTTATGTTTCTATCTGCCTTTTTGGTTTGGTGGTTTTATATGAGGTTTTTCTCAGTTTCCTTTTTTTTATGTTTCGTGTCTGTGCTCCAGATTTACGTTTTGTGGTTACCATGGGGTTTTGTATACAGCATCTCATAGAAAAATAGTCCGTTTTCTGCTGATAATATCTTAGATTCTTTTATCTATCCGGGTTCCATCCTTTTCCTCTTCCCCTTTTGTGTTTTTGTTATTCCAAATTGTTTTTCATTTCTTTTAAACAGCTTTATTGAGATATAATTCACCCATTCAAAAATACACAATTCAATTTTTTTTTAATATTCAAAGGGTTGTACAACCATCACCACAATCTAATTGTGGGACATTTTTGTTCCATCCTTACAGTCAGTCCTCACACTCACCTTTCCCCTATCCCTTGACAACCATTAACCTACTTTCTGTCTCTAGACATTTGCCAAATCTGGACATATCATATAAATAGAATCATACCATATGTGGTCTTTTGTGACTGGCTTCTCTCACTAGCTTAATGTTTTCAAGGATCATCCATGTCATAGAATATATTAGTACCTCATTTCTTTTTATTGCCAAATAATATTCCACTGCATAAATATACCACATTTTATTTATCTATTCATCAATTAATGGACATGTAAGTTGTTTTCACTTTTGGCTATATGGACAATACTGCTATTAACATTCATGTGCAAGTTTTGTGTGGACATGTTTTCATTTCTCTTGAGTACATATGTGGGAGTAAAATTACTGGGTCATATGTACCTACATTCAACCTTTTGAGGAACTGCCAAATTGTTTTCCAAAGGAGTGGTACCATTTTACATTTTCACCTGCAATGTATGAGGCTTCCAATTTCTCTACTTCTCACCAGTATTTTTATTGTGTGTCTTTTGTATTTTAGCCATCCTTGTGGTGTGCAGTAATATCTCATTGTTTTGATTTGCATTTCCCTGATGACTAATGATGTTTAGTATCTTTTCATATGCACAGATTTTTTCACAGACTACTTTTTAATCACAAAGGGAAAAATGATAACTTTACAGCAGAAAAACCTGTTAGATTCCACCTTAATCAAAGTTAACATACAAATAATTGACACCATTGTGCCTTCTGATGTGATGTACTGAGAAGGACACATTCTACAGTATTAAATATACAGTAAAGGGAAGTTCAAAAACTAAAAAAACAGAGAAAAAAAGGAAGGAAGGAGGAATGGATGATAAGAAAGAAGGAAAGGAGAAAAGGAAGGAGGATGGGAAGGAAACTGGCAGTAGTGACAGTTACCAAGTATCATTTGGCATATCAAGTATCCTTTCCTTAGTCTTATTTTCTTTGTCCTCTTCGTAAAACTGTACACTGTGGAATTAATTACACCCAAGCAGTGGTACATGCTGAAAACATAAGTAGGCTCAGATAACGATAACATTTACAAAAATTCACAGATGCTAAGTTCAAGGTGAATTAAGGAGAGGAGCTGAGGATGTCTGGGGATACATTCCCTAACCTTTTCTTTATAATAACCTTTATTTGTCTTTTTCTGACTACAAAACTAACACATACGCGTTATAGAGGGCTTGGGAAATACATTACTTTGAAGAAGAAAATAAAAGGGCAGTCAGAGAAAGAAACAGAAAGGATTTAAAACAAACTAGGGGAGAGATGGAAATCAAGTGTGTGTGTGTGTGTGTGTGTGCGCGCGCGTGCGCAGGAATAAACATTCTTTCTCTTCTCCCACGACCCCCCTTCCTGAGTTCTTCTGATTTGGTTATATCCATAATCATGTCAGTAAGTTTCCCCAAAAGGCTCTCTAAACCTCCTATTTCAAGAGTATAATCCTGGCTGCCAGTTATCTAGAAAGCAGTAGGGCAAGAAATCTGGGGTTTTCAACATTCAGTGTGTATACTTTCACTTAAGCCTGAAGCAGGTGATCCTTGCCTCCAGTGGGCTGGTATCCCCCAGACCAGAGATCCTCTGTTTCACCCTGTTCACTTTGCTGCCAGGGCTGGAAGCAGGCAGAGACGCAGTCAGAGGGCTACATCGGGTGGTGGAAGGGGTGGAGGTATACCTGCTTCTTAAATTGATTCTCTAACAATTCCTCTCATTTTTAAGATCTTTTTATTTTAAAACAATTATAGACATACAGGAAGTCACAAAAAGGTACAGTGAGGTCCCTTGTACCCTTCACTGTTTCCCTCAATGATTACATCTTATATAATTATACTGTACTACCCAAACTAGGAGATTAACATTGGTACAAAATGTGTACATAGTTCTCTGACATTTTATCACACAGATTCAAGTAGCCACCACTATAATCAAGATACGGAACTATTCTATCACAACCATCTCCATTAAACTACCCTGTTATGGTCACATCCACCCCCTACCATCCCTAACCCTAGCAAACAATTCATCTGTTTTCCATTTTCTGTAATTTTTTCACCGTGAAAATGCTATACAAATGGAACCATATAGTTTGTATCTTTTTGAGTTTTTTCACTCAGCATAATGCTTTAACATCTACCCAAATTGTTGCATGTTATCAGTAATTTGTTCCTTTTTACTGCTGAGTAATACGTATCATGCTGTAGACTACCACGTACCAGTTTGTTTAACCATTCACTTACTGGAGGAAATTTTGGTTGTTTCCAATTTTTAGCTATTACAAATAAAGCCACTGTGAATATTCATGTAAAGGTTTTGTGGGGGATATAAGTTTCCATTTCTCTAGGGTAAATACCTAGGAGTGTGATTGCTGGGTCATATACTACGAGTGTGTTCATTTTCCAAAAAAAGTTTTATTGAAATATAATTCACATACCATACAATTCACCTATTTAAAGTGTCCAATGTAGTATTTTTTAGTATATTTAGAAGGTGTGAATAAACCATCAGTGTTACCAACCTGGGTTCTTGGATTCTTTAATCAATAGAAATTGTTAAGAGGCTAGAAATTCAGGTAAGGCTTTATTGGGACTCACTGTAGCATGAGGGAGTGAAAACAAGTAACAGGTTCCCTTGCTCACTCTTTGAGAGGGGATGAGCTAGTCCTTTAAATGGGGTGAGGGCAGGGGCAGAGGCGTGGCTCAGGTGGTCTGCCCACCCCCTTGGAGGGGCTGTGTGCAGGAATCATGCGTGTTACTCTGCTTTTGCTCTCGACAACTCAGAAGCGGCCAGTGGGTTTTCACCTCTTTGTAGCTTGTTGTTCATAATTTGCCCCAGCTGCTGCATGCATGCTGTTATTTTTAGTTCCTTATAGTTTCTTTGTATTTTGTTGCTCCAGGAGTACAGGCACTGCAGTAAAGGACCCCAGGTCCCAGGTCCCAGCCTGTCTCATCACCATAATCTAATTTTAGAGCATTTTGTTCCCCGTCAAAAGAAACTCTATAGCCATCAATCCTCATTCCTCCCAACTCCAGTTGTTGTTTGTTTGTTTATTTGTTTGTTTTTAAGAATCTGTAAAACTGTTTTCCAGAGTGGTTGTGCCATTTGCATTCTCACCAACAATATATGACAGATCCAGTTTCTCTGTATACAAGATTTCAAGTATTCAGTGTTGTCAGTATGTTGTTAAGTTCACTCATCTAATAGATGTGTAGGGATATCCTGTGGTACCCTTAGTTTGCATTTCCTTATTGGTTAGTGATGTTTAACATCTTTTCATGTATTTATTTGCCTTCGGTGAAATGGTCTCAGACATTTTTTAGAGCTGAGTGGGTCCATGAAGCCTGTGAGAAGCAGAGGCCCCCTCTACCCCTCCCCTGACCCACACTGAATTGAGACACAAGGAAGAAATAAACCTTTATTGTGGTAAGCCACTGAGATTTGGGAGTTGTTTGTTATAGCTCTTAGCCTACCCTGACTAATTTGGTTCCATCTTTGGAGAAATTGCCGTTACCTCCTGGGTCTCAGTTTCCTCATCTGAAAATGAGGGGTTTAGAACGGGTACTCTATTGGTTGCCTTTCAGCTATAATACTCCATTTATAAGTTGCGTGGCTACTATTTCCAAGTGGTCTAAAACTCTATAAGAATTAACTGCAGAACTTCTCAACCATAATAACAAGTAAATTTCTCCATTTATAGATGCTTTGTGTTCCAAAAGTCCAGGTATGAATCCCCTATTGGAACATAGTTTCTGTGAGAAAATAGATCTAATATTTTAAAATATACATAAATTCCTGCTTAACTCCCAGTTCTGAGGCCCCCTCAGACCCCAGCTGGAGGCAGTGAGTGAGGTGGGAGAACAGGGACTGAGCAGAGGCTCTGGGCATGATTAGCAAGGGACAGGATGGGAGGATAGGATGGGCTGGAGCATGGGCCAGGATATCAGCTACACAAGGTTCCTTGAGAGGCCTCAGAAGCCATTATACCTGTGAATAGTTCCTAACTTGGATATTTTCAATTCTATGTATACTTCTTCACTTTAACTGTGCTTGGGTACATGTTCTGGGCAGGGCAGAGATGGATTTACTGTGGAGTAAATAAAGCTCAAACTTCAGGGTCCTCTCTCACACCCAGGACCCTTCCAAGGCCCTAGAAATGTGATAGTAAGGTCATTTGATTTTATAAAATTTGAAAAAGTAAGCTATTTTAATTGCAGGTAAGACTGCTATTTCCACTTTGACTTCCCCTCCTTCACATTTCCCCTTGTGTTTGGATGGCACTGGAGTGGCCACAGGCATGCCTGGAACCCAGCTAAGGAGAAGTTCAGTTGGGGATACACTCTGTTTGGGGTCTATTCACAGGGTTTATAGTTACTTCCACGCATAGTTGAGCTATTACAGCTATTACCTGCCGCCCAGACGAAGGAACAGTTCCAGGAATCTCTTATTCACCTAACATGCTGACTCACCTGAAGCTGTGACCTGAAGGTGCAAGGCCAGAGCTCAAATCAAGACCTAGACGTGTCCTATGACACCCAACATCGGAAGTGTGTGGGAGCAGAAGAAAATCAAGTTTTGAAAATGTATGAAGCCAGAAGCTCGTATGAAGAAAACTCTTCCAATTGTCAGCTGTACAAAAATATAAATAGAGGAGTCTGTCCTTATTGACAACCAGTCAAAACAAGTTTTGTCCTGTCAGCAATATACTCAATAACACAGCATATATCGTTACAAATGTACCATACATGCTTTTCTTTTTTGATAGGAACTGTTCGAAATACAATTTATCAAAACTCCTATCTTTACACTTTTTGATGACTTGACACAAATTTCTGGTATCAATGCAGATAATGAAAAACTCATAATACACCATTTATAATGAGGTTTTCAAAGACAAATTGTCTAGAAAATGTTGTCAATTTGAAGAGTGTATCTAAGATTAGTCCCTGCACAAGAAAATTTGAAATGCTCTAAAATAGTATAGCTCTTAGATGAAAGAAATTTGATCAAGGTTTTCCCCCAATTTGATAACACACGTAAACATTTACTTGACATTGCCAGTAACAAATCATGAACCTGAAAGAAACTTTTCCAAACAATCAAATAATAAAAAAGACAAATTTAATCTGCCATGCTAAGAAAAGACTGAATTATCTTTCTAGTCATCTCAGTAAAATGGTATTATCAAATCATTACCATATAAAGAAGCAATCAAAGTGAATGCAGCCCAAAAATTTAAGAAAAAAGTAATATTCAACCGTGACTTGCATTTGATTCATCAAACTAGTCTGGGAATTTCTGTGATGTTTGTGGTACTTGTCAGCTTTTAAAAAATTGTAACTTGTGACTTATTTTCTCATTGTAAATAAATATTCACTTTCATACCAATCTTTATGTCTGTAATTTTTTTTTTTAAAACACTACCCACCCCCACAATTGTCTAAGCATCAGGCTCCACAAACTCTGGCCCATAGCAGTGCAAAGCATGCTCTTAGGTACTACTACAGCAACAGAGGTATTGGGGTGGGTTACTCAGGCCCCAGGCTCAGGGACTGAGTATTGTCAGGTCACTGGGGCTGATCAGGCTCTGAAAAATGGGCACAGGTTCAAAAAGTCACCAGAGTGAGTCAAATTAAAATGCCTCCTTATGGGCTCACCTCTGAGGCATTTCAGGTCCCCAGTAACATTACCAGCTTCACGCCTATCTTTGCTTCTTGAGGATCCCAGGATCAGAAGGCACCAGCCCTTTACCACCTAGGACTGTTGCCTATTTTCCTTTCAGTGTTTTGAGAACTCAAAAATCATGCCTACGTCCTTAATGAAATTTAACTCTTTACTGGCAAAAATATATTGTGTTTAAACAGGCAAACAAAAGAGTGTTTACACAAGCAAGGTGGTTCTTGATTTTTGAAAATTAAGGGTTGTTGAGTGTTTGTGCTAGCATCATCTAGTGACAAAAAGGGGTAAGCTCAGCTCACCAAAATCTATCACTGGGGAGAAAGATAGTTGTGCTGCTGTCTCCTACCCCCTCTTTCCTAGAAGTTGTGCAGAATATTGTGGTTAACACAATTCCACTGTGCCTTCTGGTCATTAACTTATGTCCCCAAATAGATCAGACAGAGAAGAAAGTATTAAGCAAAAATTGAGAGGAAGAGAGGCAGGGCTTATTTTAACCTCTGATGGCACTGTCTGCAAAACTCTTGCTTAAATCCTTGGGAGAAGTTCAGCAAACTGCTGGCTTGATGAAGCTGGAGGCCCCTTTAAGATGGCTGGCCAAGTGGGGAGAGGTCAGCACAACTCTGCAGATCCTTGGCTGAGCCTGTTGGATATTCTGGGCCATCATGGCTTCTGACTTGAACCTGCTACCTAGACTGACCACCCCACCACCAACATCCCAACCCCAGTTTCTCACCCTACTAGCTATTTTTTTCTTATCTCTGGCTCAGCCCACATCTTATCTAGCTCCATTCCACCACATCTGGTTCAGTTCAGTTCCTTTCCTTCTTCCTTTTTGATTTTCCCAAAACAGACCTGGCTTTTGTTGGCTACTTACAACCATTATGGTGTTTGGGTTTTTTTTTTTTTAATTCCATTGCAGCAAGAACACTAAACATGAGATCTACCCTCTTAACAGGTTTTTAAGCATACAGTACAGTATTGTTCTCTATAGACACAATGTTGTACAGCAGATGTCTAGAATTTACTCATCTTGCATAACTAAAACTTTATACCAGTTGATTAGTAACTCTTTCTCCACACCCCAGCCCCTGGCAACTACCATTTGATTCTTTGCTTCTGAGTTTGACAATTTTAGATACCTTATATAAGTGGAATCATGCAGTAATTGTCCTTCCATGACTGGCTTATTTCACTTAGCATAATGTCCACAAGTTTCATCCGTGTTGTCATATATGGCAGGATTTCCTTCTTTTTAAAGATGAGTAATATCCCACTGCATGTATATATCACATTTTAAAAACTGAAATATAGTCAGTTTACAATGTTGTGACAATTTCTGGTGTACAGAATAATGCTTCAGTCATACATATACATATATATTTCTTTTCATATTCTTTTTCATTATAGGTTACTACAAGATATTGAATATAGTTGCCTGTGCTATACAGTATAAACTTGTTGTTTATCTATTTTATATATAGTAGTCAGTATCTGCAAATCTCAGACTCCCAATTGATCCCTTCCCATCCCCTTCCCCCCTGATAACCATGAGTTTGTTTTCTAAATACCACGTAACTTTTATCTATTCATCTGGACATTTTAGTAATTTCCATACCTTGGCTATTGTGAATAGTGTCACAATGAACATGTGAGGGCTAATATATCTCCAAGAACCTACTTTCGATTCTTTTGGATAAATACCCAGAAATGGGATTGCTGCATCATGTGGTAGTTCTATTTTTATTTTTTTGAGGAACATCCATACTGTTTGCTGTAGAGGCTGCACCATTTTTCATTTCCACCAACAGTACACAAGCATTCCACTTTCTCCACATCCTTGCCAACACCTCTGTCTTTTGTTTTGGTTTTCATAATAGTCTATCAGCTGTGAGGTGGTATCTCATTGTGGTTTTGATGAGCATTTCCCTAATGATTAGTAACGCTGAGCATCTTTTCACATACTTTTTGGTCATCTGTATGTCTTCTTTGGAAAAATGTCTATTCAAGTCCTTTGCCCATTTAAAAAATCAAGTTATTAGTTTTTTGCTTTTAAGTTGTAGGAGTTCCTTTAATTAATTTTGGAAATTAATCCCTTATCAGATATATGATTTGCAAATATTTTCTCCCATTCCATAGGTTATCTTTTTACTCTGTCAGTGGTTTCTGTTGCTGTGTAGAAGCGTTTTAATTCAATGTAGTCCCTCTTGTCTACTTTTGCTTTTCTTGTCTGTGCTTTTGGTGTTACATCCATGAAATCATTGCTAAGATCAGTCTTGAAGCCTTTCCCCTGTGATTTTTTTTCCTAGAAGTTACACAGTTTCAGATCTTATGTTCAAGTTCTTAATCCATTTTGAGTTGATTTTTGTGTAAGGGTCCACTTTCATTCGTTTGCATATGATGTTTCCCAGTACCATTTGTTGATACTGAGTATTCATTCAACAAACGTTTATTGAGCACCTTTTGGCCAGGCATTATGGTAGGGAGGCACAGGGGATTCAAAGCTGAGACTAACATAATGGTTGCAAGTACAAAGTGCTTGGGTTCAAATCCTGGTAGCATTATTTCTAACTGTGCCACCTTGGGCAAATTACTAATTTCTCTGTGCCCCAATGTCCTCATTTATATAAAAGGGATAATAATTATGGTTCTTTCCTCACAGGGTTGGTGTGAGGATTAAACAAATTAATACATGTAAAGGGCTTAAGAAGGTGTCTGGCGCCTGGTAAGGACTCTTAGGTGCTGACTCTTAAGGCATAGTTCATATCTCTCAAGGAGCTCACAGTCTACAGTTGCCCTTGTTCTCCTGTCCCACGTGGCAGGCAGAAACATCTGGGTCTTCTGGCACCTCAAGTGACCCATAGCTCCTGCCTAACATTTCCGGGAATCACAGGATGAACCGGACGCAAGTTCCAGTGTCACAGATTCGCCGTGTGACCCTAGACAAGTAGTTTCTACTCTCTGGGTCTCACTTTATGCATTTGTAAATGAAGTTAGACCAAAACTGATTTCCAAATCCCAACAAACTCCTTGTTCTTGGTAGCCCAAGTTAAAACTATGCTAGCTTAGGCAAGTCATTTAACCTCTCTGCACTTGTTTCACCAGAAAAATGGGATAATATTACTAACCACCTCCTACGTTACAGCGATAGTTCAACAAAGTAACGAAAGCCCAAGCATCCGCGATCGCTTAGGGTAGGCGGCCTTTAATACACACCCGCCTTTGCCATTCAGCGCACGCGCGCTGGAGCCCAGACCTCGCTCGCCGGGCGGAGGTCCCCGACTTCCGGTTCCGCGGGGGTCCGGAGGCCAGATTGAGACTAATGGCGGCGTCCATGAAGCGGGCCACCGGGGGCGTTGAGGAGGCCTCGGCGGAAAAGGAACAGCGAGTTCTGGAACCCGGGGCCGCCCCATTCGGAAATTTTCCTCATTATTCCCGGTTCCACCCTCCAGAGCAACGGCTCCACCTCTTGCCCCCAGAGCTACTTCACCGGCTCTTCCCTCAGGGTCCCGAGACGAGGCCGATCCTGGGGCTCGACGTGGGGTGTAACTCCGGGGTGAGTGACGGGGGAGGGATCCGACGTCGGTTGAGATGAGAGGTTGGCAGCTTTCACGTCCACTGGTGTTCTGGTCTGGGCGTGGCATCACATCCGTCACAACTTTCCCAAAATGAGTTTAAAGGCGTAGAGTTCGATCCCGAGCTGCTGCTGTCTGACCTCCAGGGTCCCTGCACCATCTATTTTAGGAATCTTGGGGAGGAATCATTTTCAACTACGTTCCAAATTCCTGCGTCCCCGCCTCCTCTCTACTCCTCACGGCCAAACCCCGGGTGGGAAGGGCCATCGTGTCTGGGCTTCCGGCGCTTGCCTCCTGTCCAGCGTGGCTGGTGACTTGGCTGCGGAAGAGGGGGCCTCCCAGACTCACGTTGCGAGCCTGGAATTGGAAATGGTTTACTGGGAGAGATGAGACAGAGGTGACAGAATCATGTCTGGAATTAAGATTCTTGTGAAACACGGTGCAGAATGGACCCTGGAACCAAGTGGGTATTTATTTTAAAAGCAATGAGTTGGCCAAGTACAGTGGAGAGGATCGAGAAAGAAAGCATCCTACCAGAGGAAGGCATTGCCACGTTTTCTTACCACAAAGTATTCTTAGTCGTACAATGATTATAGTCAAACCACAAACACAACAGTGAAATGTCTCTCTGACACCTATTTGTAGCCACTAGGATATCCCAGAGGAGCAAGCATTCTGACCCTATGATTATAAATGCTTCAAAAGTTAGTACCCCGACTCCATTCCAGACCAGGAGCGGCAGAGGGTGAGGAAATTTTTACTGTGTTGCTGGCCTTAGGCAGAAGAGACTTTGGTTGAGGGTTGAGGGCTGTAAGGACTCAGCTGGTAAATGAGAGGGAGACATTTAGATACAGGCTAAAAGTTGGAATGAGCAGATGGGTGGGTGTCTGGCTATCCCTTGCAAACATTTCTCTGCTGTGATTATATAGGAAGTCTGAGGGGGAAAGTAATGGAAAAGAGACTGGGCTTAAAGACTTGGAATTTCATAAAAGGCAATAGCAAACTACAGGAGATTTCAAAGTAGTATATATGCACCTTAGGGGCAAGAACATAGTTGCAGTTAACTAGGGCAGTGGTTCCCAAGCCTGCCTGTACATTTAGGGAATTTTTTATTTTGTACTTAAGAAAAAAAAATGCTTGCACTTCATAAAACAAAAAAATTCAAAATACAAACGGGCATATAGTAAAAAGAAACTTCTTCTGATCCTAAGTCCTCTCCTTCCGCTATGCAATGGCAACTCCTGTTTATAATTTCTTGAGTGTACACAAGCATTTCTGTATGTATAACTATCCCACTTCTTCTAGTTTTACAAATAATAGTACACTGTTTTGCACCTTGCTTTTCACTTAATAATTTGGAGATCACTCATGTTACTGCATTGTTTTTTAGCAGCTTCATATTTCATTAATAGATGTGGTATAATTTGTTTGTTGTTGTTTTTTTTTAATTTAAAAAACTCCTAGGCCCCACTCTAGACCTAATGAATCAGGATCTTGGGGGATTGAGCCTGTGAGTCTGAATTTTCTTTTTTACTCTAGGGGACTCTAGGACTGGGGAATTGAGGATGGAGAGGATGAAGAGATGTGGAAGATGTGACAAAATGACTGGTCAAACATGAGGCACACCCAAGATCAGATAGGAGGAAGGAGACAGCAGAGAAGTAAAAGAGATATGGGGAGAAATTTTTAAGCAGCATAGTATAGGACCTTCCTACTCAAAATGTGGTCCTTGAACTACAGCATTAGTATGATTTGGAAGCTTATTAGAAATACAGAATCTCAGCCCCACCCCAGATCTACTGTATTAACATCTTTATTTTAATAAGATTCCCTAGATGATGTGTGTGTCTATTAAAGTGTGAGAATCCTGGTATAGAGGAAGGAACCTAATGTAGCCTAAATCTTGCCGTGCATTAACCATGTGACATTGGACAATTCACTAGCCTCTGAACCATAATTTTTAAAATACAGGGTTTTTTGTGAACCATGCCACACATGGAGAACGTGCATAAAACATAAATTCATACTTTATGAATTATTTTAAAGCAAACACCTTTATGACTACTGTCTAGATCAAGTATAAAAGGCTGTCAGCACCCGCAGAAGTCTCCCATATGCCTTTTCCTGCTCATAAACCCCTCTCTCCACCCAGAAGTGGTAACTAGCCCAACTTTTATTATTATTCTTTCCTTGCTATTACTTATAGGTTATAAATAAATAGTGAATTTTTGTATCCCTAAACAATGTAGTTTAATTTCATCCATTTTTTAACTTCATATAAATGGAAGCTTGCCATGTATTTTCTTTTGTGTCTTGCTGTTTTACTCAGCATTATGTATTTGTGTGAGTCATCCATGTTGCTGCACTGAGCTGAATTCCTTCATTTTTAATTGCTATCTGGTATTCCATCTTAATCCATGCTACTATTATTAGACATCTGGTTGTTTCCAGCCACACTTTCTTCACCTGCACAAAGGGCATAGGATTGTTGCACAGAGCAAATGAGGTAATAAAAAATGCCTTGAAAAAATAGATTAGAACAACACAAATTTGAGTTAGTTATAATGGTTATAGAAGTCAAAGTTAGAGAAAGGAGATAGTGACTTGTTTAAAAATTTAAAAAGTACTAAGATGGTGAAAATCACAAATCATTGGATTTGGCTAGAAAGAGGCAGCAGTGACTTTTGAGAGTAATGGATGCAAAAGCAGAGTAAGTCTCAGAAAGGGTGGTGAAGCATAAGACAGGTAGTAAAACTGAAGCTGTAGAGCGAAGGCTGAATGTGGACTTTTTGGAATCCAGACTTTCCCAACCACAGGTCTGAGAAGTAGATTTTTATAAGGTGGTGCTTGCTCTGTTCCTCACCTTCCTAGTAAGGAGCTCTGGTTATGTCCCTGAAGCTCTTTCATACTCCCTGGAATCTGAGATATACAAAAGAGAAAAAGATGGTGAGTTTACCAGCATATTACTTAAGCTGGAAAATACTGCTCTGTACTCCTTTGCTGCATCCATTGGGCTGTAACTTTCAACCATACAACCCATCAGTGTCAGCAAAGTATAGAGATGATGCATTACAGCCTGAGACCCCTGGAGGGCGCTGACGGCCTGCTCTGTGGAAAACTTTTTTGGGGCAACCTCCTTAGCCTATATTTTAGGAACCTCACGTCTTATAAAGCCAGGTGTAAGTTGCAGTCTGTATGGGAGGATAAGAGATATAGGTTTCTCTT